CTGTGTGCGGGAGATATTCCTGCAGTCAAAGTTGGTGGTTAGTGCAATTCTTCCACGATTTGATGATGAAGATCTACATGTAAGCACGTTTCACCACAACATTCACTTTGTAGCCAGATGAATTGTGCTTTCATCAATTTCAGCGAAGACTTTAAGTGCCTTTGCTCAAGATAGCATCTACTTAAGCTGGGATGGAAATGCCCTTTTTGGGGAACTGTTGTAAAGGCATTTGGAAAGGTTAGCCAAGCAAATCTTGCCATTCTCTTCCCACCTTCAACCAGATCATCAGCCTTTGTCCCCCCAGAACCGTGGAAGCTGCTGCGGACTCCTCATCGGGTAAAGAATGTACCTGGCTCTGATCCAGAATCTCAAGCTGAAGCAGCACAGCCATCCCCACCAGTTTTGTCATCACATGCACCATCCTCACCTGAACAGTGCCAAAGAAGAGCCAAGATGCCCTCGGCTGCTTCAGTCAAGAAGAAGTACAGATGTCACGAGATTACAATTTTTGAGGGTGATGGCTTTAAGCAGCTTGGATTTGTGCTAAAGCCAAAGGACGTCTTCGTCAAACCGTTTGCTGCAACGACGACTATTAGTCCAGGAAAGATAATGGTAGTTTGGTGGGTAACCTAGAACTAATTGCTAGCAAAGGTTTTTCTTCACAGTACATTTCTTTGAGGTATGTAGAATGACCAGAAAAAAGTCCGAGCAAATCTGAGTTGTGGAAATATATTTAATTTCCATAAATTCAAAATGGCCGCCATTTTGCAGTTTTTGAGCATAAATTAAAATGTACGTCTTTAACGGGGTAATTGTTATATCTACGCCAGGTTTGGGGGATCTACGAACACTTAAAAGCATACAATTGATAAATTCAGAATTTTTGTCATCCTAATTTGCATGAGTTCAACATGGTCGCCATTTTGAAATACAAAAGTGTGGAATTTCCATGTTTTTTTAACACTACCAGTTGGTTTTGTCCCCTAAATACAAATATATTGTAATAATATCATACATTTACATTCTATAGATAACAGAATACAGACAAGAAGATGGAAAAAAGTACCTAATCCCCTCCCCAATCACACTTAACGTAATATTATTTCAACAAGAGTGATCTGCAAGAGAGAATTTGTGACTGGCTATGAACTAAATATGCACCTGATTTTTTTGAAATTTTTACTGTAGACAAATTCAACTTCCAATAAGCATGGTCACTTATACCTACAAGCATTTATTAATAAATAAATTGAAATGAGAGAAGCTGATTAAGCTTAGTTGCAAAAATCCAGAGTAGTCTTGGTCAAACTGATGCACATAAATTCAACTTTGAAAGTCTGAATGTCACATTTTGTGTATTTGTGTTCTTCCTTTCATATCGCAGACAACATCACTGATATCAGTGAGCAGATATTAGCTCTCCAGAGTCCCTGCTAATCCCACATTTTCTTATTTTCCTGATTAATTGCAGGTGAGGATTCTTAATTGGTAACATGCTCAACACTAACTGGCGGTATACTGTACATGTAAAGTGATGTCACAGGATGTCACATAAATGAAAATTATGACTTTTAAGTAGGTAACAAGAATGGAGGAAAGCACATACTTTTTTCCAACACAAACTGCTGACAATACAATCTGAACAACACTGACACTTAATACATTTGATATCTTACAGTTTCAGTTGATAACTCAGAAAGCATACTGCATCCAGTGTACTTGTACCCGGATTTATTGAAGTGCATTATTTTATTATTTCATTTATTAATAAATGTATGTGCCTTTTGTGCGTTCAGATGATGAACGTTCAGATGATGATCAAAACCGTTTTTTCACTGACGAGCTATGCAGTTTCCCACCTGCCCTGTTTGAGTCATCAGGCCTTCCTTTGCAAGTCACCAAAGCGGCCCTCGCAGATGTTCTTTGGAAGTAGGTGGAGCATAAAGAGCCCCTCCCTCCTGGAAGTACCACAGTGCACTATATAATTGATGGTGGAGCACTTTTGCACCGAATTCCTTGGATGCGTGGAACCACATACATGTATACTACTATTTCTCAGAAGTATGTTGACTATGTGTTAAAGAGATATGGTAACAACCATTGTGTTTGATGGATATTCAGACCAACCAACCAACCATCAAAGATGGAGGAGCTCAGGGGTCTACCATACAGTTTGATGAAGATATGTTAATGAATGCAAGAAAAGAGGAGTTCCTCTCAAATGAGGTGAACAAAACACGCTTCATCAATCTCCTCAGTGAGAAGCTTGGGAAGGCGGGTTGTTCGACAATCCATGCAAGATTTGACGCAGATCTCATAAGAGTAAAAACTGCAGTGCAGTCTGCAAGGACAATAGAGACCATCCTTGTTGGTGATGACACTGATCTCTTGTTGCTCCTTATCTACTACACTGAGATGAATGGTTGCAATATATTCATGGCACCTGAACCGAAGGCAACTTCTAAAGAGACGAGACTTTCGGACATAAAGCAGTTGAAAACCAAACTTGGGACATCAGTATAATATATTGTTCATACATGCCATCCTGGGGTGTGACACCACTTCAAGGGTATTTGGTCTGGGCAAAGGCCTTGCTCTGAAGAAACTGAAGAACGACCCATTCTTCTGTGAACAAGCTTAGATGTTCAACGCACTAACGTCAGATGAGAAGGCCAACGTTGTTAAGCAGGAGAGAAAGTCTTAGTGTCACTGTACAAGGGAAGTCAGACAGAATCCTTGGATCAGCTTTGATACAAACAATTTTGTTCTAAAGTGGCAACTAGCATCATGGCTGTTTCGGCACAATCACTACCACCAACATCATCATCAGCTCAGTGCCATAGTCTGCGGGTGTACAATCAGATTAAAGAGTGGAAAGAGCAGTCCATAGCTTTTCACCTGAAGACTGAAAACCTGCACCAACAGAGCTACTAGAAGTCATGAAATGTGGATGCAAGACAGACTGTTCAACACGAAGATGTAGCTGCAAACACTCTGGGATTGAATGTACAGGCGCATGTCTTGTATGCCATGGTACAACATGCAGCAATTCGTCACATTCAGCTATTGATCTTGAAGCAGAAGACTAAACTAAAGAAACCTCCATTATCACCATCATCATCATATCAACGTTTGAACACATTTAAATGACAGCCACTTTGGCTTTGTGCATATATCGGTATCAGTTCTGAGGAAAATGCTTTTTAACATTTCCAGTGACACAAATGTAATCAGAAACATCTGAAATATGGATAAAGGTAACAAATTTCTTGACCAGTTAATCTGCTGTCTTGTAATATTATAAAAAAAAATCAATTAAAATGGCCGCCATTAGGATTTATGCAAATTAGGCATGTTCCAAATGTCCAGCAAGAATTTTACTGTAATAATTGTACTCAGAGACCTTGAATACATGGGCATAGACACCAAAATTAGTCTCCTGCAAGTCTCATATCTCAAGATATGGTCAAAACTTTGTCAAAATGGCGTCCATTTTGAATTTATGCAAATTAGGCTTATTTCCGCAACTTGGATTTGCTCGGACTTTTTTCTGGTCATTTTGGGTACAAAGTATAAATGCATTCTGAAAAAACCTTTGATAGCAATTAGTTCTAGGTTGAATGTTAATTTTCTTGGACTATATGTCTTATGATCAGATTCCATCAAAGCGTCAACCCAAGGAGTCAGGTCCAGATGCAGCTCTTCCAAAGCCGGATTCAACATACATTGCCATGCGGAAGCAAGGGAAGAGGGGACGCAGACGTGTGAGAATCAAAAAGAGGATACATTGGCGCAAACGCAAGATTCTTATTAAATTTAAATTATTAAATTTATTAGGAGGAAAGGATTATAGCCGAGATTCATTTGTAAGAGCTCTATGCGGCTTTACAGATTACCTTCACTATAAAAGAGCAAAGTAGGGTAGGGACCTCAAAAAATGTTGTATTAACAATGCTGGGACCACAATCCACATTCTAGTATCCCTGAATAAAATTCTGATTTTTGTCATTTATAAGGATAATAACAACCTGCATGTGCCATGTGGTCATGTAGACATTTGGGGATAACTGAAATATAGACATATACACGTAGCATGCTATTCAAAACTCCTGCCTTCCCATGAAATTGCCCAAAGAGACTGCACATAGTAATTTATCCCTGATACCTGCACTGTATTATGTTTTTTATTTATTTCAGGGAACGCAAGACCTACATGTTCATGTTAACTTGCCGTGGTGTAGATGTCAGCGTTAAGTCGATGGTGCAGCATGCACTTTTGCTGTGTATGCTAGTACATGTAAAAAGTCTTGAAATGTTAGTATTTGTAATGGAGACAGAATGATAATCAGAGGTAAGCCAATGTGTACAGTATTCAGTGCTGTAAATAAGCAGAAGTGAATTTGCCAACCACTTTTGCTAATTCAAGCATGTTTGTCAACTGTATGCATTTATATCTTTCATGTATTCTATTTTGTATACACGGGATTCTATTTCATGCCAACTTACTGCCATAAAACTTACAGTCTACCAAAGTTAATAAAAACTTCAAACATTTCATTTTTTCATGTTCTTTTATTTATTTTTATATGTTTACTTGTATGTGCAAATTAATTACACGGGCAATATTTACAAATGTAGAATTGATGGAAATGTGTGGCATGTACACATACATTTGATTTTTTACAACTATCAACTGAACTCATTCCTGTGGTAACTGTGAATTATTAAGGCAGAGTTCACCTCTAGAACAGTGCATGTGTATGCAATGGTACATGTATTTTATTTAAGTGCTGCATTTGTATCCTGGGTAAACAAATGAGATTTTTTAACTTTGGCATGGTGGCATGTGTGTTTTTGATGTGGTGCCAGTATTACTGATGTAGTATTTTTTAAATTTATTTTGGAAAAGTTTACAAGACTGAATAAAAAAAAATTCTGAAAATGTTGCCTTGTATATTTTACAGTTTCATGTTGAACTCATAATGAATCACAGAACTCCCTTTCCCCTGTCTACTCCCTTAAAACTCATTTATTTTTGTTCAATGTTGTCACCAAACTTGTGTAGAATGAAGAGAAAGATTGAAATCACAAAAAATAGTGCAAAGCAACACAAAAAAAATTCAATTCTGAAAGGGAAACAATGATCAATACAGCATTTATTGATTTAGTTAGTTTGGCAAATTAAGCGAAAAAGAATAAAATAATAGCGAAAGAGGAACACAAATCTTGTTAGAAACATTAATATATACCACATGCATTCAATTGTGAACGAGAAACAACATAGATGTACATGTACTTTGATTGCCATTTCGTTTGTTTACAAGTACATCCGGGTTCTGTGACTAACGCTATCAACCAATCAGCAGCCCAGAAATCTGTGACTGTCATGGCGGCGGCATGAATGTGATTTTACGTGGACCCGTTGCAGAGCCTTGCATAGAAAAAGTGTGCCCTGACCCAGCTAGAGAAATCTGAGGGTAAATAGGTTAATTTTGGTGTAGTTCAAGACATAAATCTCTTCATGAAGTGTAAAAGAAAGTTGTGGTCACACTGAAAAAAAGAGAGTTTTCTGCATTTTCTGGCATGAATTTGTCGATTTTTTATCCCCAAAACATTGTGCCGTTTCAACCTTATTTAAACAATAAATGCATTTGAATTTCACATTATATGACAGATATAGTCTTCAGCTAGGACAAAAAAACTATTTTTTAAAAAGTACCATGAGTAAAAGATGAGAAATCCATCGAATTCCTTACGCTCTTCATGCTCATTAAATATGCAAAGAGAGGTCACGCACGGAAAACCATGCATATGTTCCAAACAAACGGCACCGCTTTTGTGTGTGCTGCATACTGACTGATCGTATTTTACTTTTTTCATCGTACTTAATGTGATAAAATTGTACTGGTTGGCATCTCTGCTTTTCCCTCTAATACATGTACACGTAACAAAGGGGACCTATAACCCTTGTCCCTTGCAACAGTTCAGCTAGTCTGAGAGTAAAATGTATGAATTCTCACATGTACCGCACAGTACACATTATTTTCATGTACATGTACGTTGTACGTGTGGTACATTTCTTTTATGTACCTGGTACCTATATGTTGTACATAAACTGTACATTGTAGAATTAGTCCATAACAGTGGAGCTTATAACTGTGGATGACGCACCATCCTTATGCTACATTTATTATGATCAATTCTATTTTGTCTTTTCAAGAAATATCGCCACATATTCCATAGAGAGATAGTATGCTGGTGTTGGGGATTCTTGGGGAAATACAACTGAGTCCCATTTCTTTCGTGCATCATGAATACATGTGTGTAGTCTGCAATGTCTAGTTATCCTTGACTTAATGCCAAATGAAATGAAATAACTAATAAAAATACACATACAATAAGATAGTTAATGCACAAAACAAGTACATGTATAATCTTTTGGTCATAAAATCATATTGCATAAAAAACAACCACTGTTCCACCAAGTAGCCATTCTCTCGCTTCCAGAGTTCCATGGACACATTTTGGAAACTGTGGGCTGTTGCAAACATGGATGCCATAGTTTGCTATGGTTTCGAACTTGGCCAGCATTAAGTCCCCATCCCTATCAGGTGTTATCCCAAGGATCGAGTCTTTGATAGGGGTACAACCGGAGAATTTTGTTGCTGTGGTTAGCTTCTTCTTCAGACCTAAGATATCAAGCACATGCTAAACATGTAAGAAATTAGCATGCAGGAAACATTTCAGATTTAAATTATTTCTCCAAAATTTATCCTGCATTAAAAGATGTGCTAAAATTTCCATTTCATAATCTCTAAACTTGTGGCAGGTGCGAGAAATGCACCATTTCTGTTGTGTAATTCCAGATTTTTGATATTCCGGGAAGATGGGGGGGTGACTTACAAACAGGAGTGTCATGGACAGAAAAAGTGAATTTCAAATTGCTGTACATGTATTTGTTAGTGGGAAAATTGTCACAAACATTCGCAAGTTGAAATAAAATTTATAAAATCAAGAACGAACGTTAACAAATGGCTACATGGCAGATGTCATAGCAGTGCCTTGATATCAGGAAAGTTCTCCTTGATGTACTTTGTTACTTGTCGATATCCATCATAAGTTTGTATATTATTGTCCTCCAGCCACTTCATTGCTTGTATCAGTCCCTCCTTCTCCATAAGGCTCGACTTGAGCTGTGTTTCATTTTTCTGTCAATCCAAATACAAGTGTATGCACATGTTTATACAGTTTTGAAACGTTTCTCATACACAATAACATATCCTGTGACGTCAGTTGTGTTAATTCATTGATAACATTGAACAATCTTCACAGGGTTGAAGTATCAACACCTGTGATGACTTCAAAAAAAGGTGCTCAAATAGTTGGTGAAATGAGGCTAGAATGCATCACACTAAGCACCGGACATTTCAATCCAATCACCAATATCCTGACAAACATACAAAACCCAAAATAGGCTAACCAGGCTCAGGCTAAACAGAGCTACTTCACCTGAACAAGTTCAATGAGCAGAACCTTGCCGTAGTTAAGGTCATTTACGCTGTAACAGCCATACTTGACTGAGAGGCCCATTGAATTGTCCCACATGTCCATTCCAAGAAATGCATCCTCTTGTAGCTTGGATGGACGTTAATGCCTCTTGGTCACTTTCCCAGACATGGACAACTGCCAGCTGCAAGTATCTGAAAAATGGTTGGATGTGTTAAAATCTAATAAGACAAGTTGAAGTTATTAGACATGGAACAAATACTGAACAGATAACAACTTAGACATGGAAATACCACAGCTCCTGAAACTAACCTGCGCTGATGATTGAAGAAAGTGGAACAAGAAATCACTGATTGATGTCAGTGCATTGATAAACTTATGGATACATGCCCTAGACATCAGCATCAGCAGATATAATGATGTTCATAGCAGGAACATTGCCAGCCCTTGGTTGGCTGAGCCATTTTCGGGAGAAGCCACATGGTTGGATCTTGTCAGTCCGGAAGACAGGAATCATCATGCCACTATGCAGTCGAATAACCCTATTACTGGATGGCCCAACGTACTTTGGACACGTTTTTAAATAGCTACAAGAGGTTTTTGCGGAACACCAAATACTTCTTGGCCTCCAAAGTGTCATCATCTTCATATGTGCTATAACAAATAACAAAAACAAAAAAATCTACCTAAATTCCTTTATTGTAATGTAGCATATTTGATTATCTTGGGTAAATGTAGAAACATCTGAGTAACTTTATATGAACATACATTTCAATGTTATTTCAAGTTGCAGGTCAATACTTTGAGTGTGGTAGACAGTGAAAATGTGTTCATAATGTACATGTACCTAATTTCAAAGTTGGAGTCTGAGCTCCGCCCACTAGACGGCTGGTAGCTGTCGCTTGCGCTTGGCCTGCCATCTGAGTCAGAATCAATCTTGTCATCATCGCTGATATGCCTTGTCAACAACCACCACAGGTTGCTGAGGCTGTGGCATAGCACTGAGGAGCTTCAGCTTTGGGGCCTTGACCAGCTCACACTATACATGTACATGTATATCCTTTGGGCAACAGGATAAGTCATGTGCTTGGCAATCTGTTGTGAATAAATGCAGTTCTATGACAATAAATGTAATTCACAAATTGGGCCATATTATATTTACCACAAGTAGTGGTACTCGTACAGTTTTCAATTTTCAAATGATGTTATGAATGACATATTTTGCTTTTCTGATACGAAGCCACATTTGTCTGGCAATTATAGAATGTATACACAAATTATTCTGAACAGGGCACATTCTTTAACATATGAAAACTACATACATAAAATTACATTTATTCCTAACTGTGAACTTCTTAGGATCTGTCTGAGTGCGTTTGGAGTGGACAAAGCACTGCTTTGGGGGTTTTGAGGCATAGATGTTGACTTTCCGGACATCTAGCTGTATGATGAGTTGTCGCCGTGTGCATTCTGTTTATGTGGCAATGCTCTGATGCTCAATATTTTCATCATCAGTGACCTGTGACAAAATAGACAGCACAGTATAACAACACAGTTACATGAGTGTTATTTGAACAGTGTTCAAGTGTGATTCAGAGAAAGAGTTTATTTGTGAGCTTATATGCAGGTGTACATTTCATACAGACAATTATTGACAATTTTAATAACAAATCTACTTTAACATGTACATGTAGAAGACAAGTTGACAGTCTAATCACCGCGAAAATCTGTAAGAGTACATGTTATTTAAAATGAAGTGGTCATTGAAATGAACTGTGATGCATTTTGCACGCTTTCGCACACACAATAGAGTGGACAGTAATGTGTAGTTTAAAATGTTTATCAAGCAACATAAATGTTACACAGCCAAATTCTCAGAGATTAAGCACATTTACC